GGCTCTCTGACAACAGCTTCCATCTTTCTGCTCCTACAGGAGGGTTTCCTGTCAGGAACAAATGTCTCTAAACACTGGGCAGAGCCTCTAGTCACCTCAGTTTCTAGTTGAATGACTCATTGGCTCATAAGCAAGTTGAGGGTGGGGCATTGGGAAGCTCAGAGTTCTCTCTCTTCTTTGTCTAAATGAATAGAACTTGGGGAGGAAGAGAACTGCCAGACTCACATATATACCTAAACGGTCACCTCTTTGGTTGAGAATCACATCCAACCTCCCTGGTGAGATTCCAGACCCCTTTCTTGAGAGATGAAGGAGAGTAGACTCTTGAAATACTCACAGCTCAAATGCCAGAGACAGTCCCTCTTCCCATTGCATTTTAGTGGTGTTTCTTCAATAAAAGTGTCTTCTTGTCTCTAAGCCATTGACTCATTTCCCTGGATTGAGTTTACTTAGAAATAGTTGTCATTATTGATGACCATTTCACTGAGGACAGTTCCAGGTGTGTTTACTGCTCCCCTCCCAGAAGCAGACCATCCCCTGCACCGTTTAGGGTGGTCATGATGTCTCTCTGACCAGTTCTGAGGTGTGACTTCTACAGCTTCTCAGCATCTTGCCTATATCTCTGTAAGTAGTTCTTTCATTTGATTCTCCCTACATCCTCAGCCTGAGCGCTCCCTGCTTCCTGTCCCCCGCCTGAGCACCCCCTGCTTCCTTCCTCAGCCTCAGCACCCCCAGATTCCTGTTGTGATGCTAGTTGTCATGATGAAGTCACCCAAGGACAGAGGGAACAGAAGACTCATGGCAGAAAGCCAACCACGCAGTGACTGGTCCTTCTGGTTTCCCTTGACATGGCATCAAGGCCAGCTGAGGCAACTCTGTTTCTGAAGCAAATAGAGAGCCTGTAGAAGAAAGTCATGAACTTACTGTGAACTATGGTGGGGGAAGAGTGAGGAACGTTCTTCCCATAAGGTGGCCTTCTAGTAAGAATTCCACAAACTATGATAAGTTGGTGCACTTGAAAGCAAGGGCATGAAGGAAATGCCTGGGCATGTCCACGTTATCTCTGTGGGAAAGGCGAAGGTCTGGGAAGAATACTCTTGGCTCTTTCACAGGACCAAAGATAATACTCATACAGTCTACTCCCTCACGGTACTAGCATTTGTGTAAATTAACTCTAAACAGCACCTCATGTTTTACTTGTTTTAATAATAAAATGAAAAGTGCTTTGTTGGCAGTACTCTTGAGCTCAAATGCCTTGAGTCCTCTGGTCCCCTCAATCAGATTGTTGGCATTTCCTTCAATCCTTGGAGACTTAATCTTGCTGGCCATGATGGGTTGATGGCATGGAGCCTCTTAGAGCAAAGGTTCTCAATCTGTGTGTCGTATAGCAACCCCTTTGAGGTTCTAACAACCCTTTCACAGGGGTCACCTAAGACCACTGATATGGCAAAATGACCGTTATGAAGTAGCAACAAAAATGTTATGGTTGGGGGGGGGGGTCACCACAACATGAGGAGCTGTATTAAAGGGTTGCAGTGTTAGGAAGGTAGAGCACCACTGCTCTAGAGGGAACACAAGTCCTTCAGGACATCTCTTCTTCCAAAGTCTCCATATATTTTAAATAACTCCGGAATGGAGCAGACAAAGGTTGAAATAGATCAAGAGGTAGAAAGTGCAGAACCCTGAATCAGCTATCCTGGTAAGATTCCTAGCCTCCTAGTGGCCAGTCCTCTCTGTGAGAAGAGCTAGAGAAGGTAGAAAGAGAGCCATACAAGATGGGCCATGGCTGCAAAACCCAGATCCCCTTCTTCTGGAGCCCACACTTCCCCCTTAGCTTTAAACAGACTGAAAAGTCATCATCACTTACTGAACTTTTAGATTCCGGCCCCCAGCTGTATGGAAATGATATCCAGACTGTGAGAGCAGAGCCCATCTCTTCTTCAAGGCTGTGAACAGTGCCCTGATACTTTCTCCTGCCCCCACCTCCGTCTGGTCTGGTAGCCATGTGCTCTCCTAACTGCTGCTGTGTGTCAGTGTGCCTGGCGTCACATTAAAATAGCTGCTGTAAGCAACTCACAAGGAGAGAAGGCAGGCGTGGGCTCACAGTCCTGGGTTTCTGGCCCAAAGGTAGGCAGCTTCACTGCTTTTGGCCTCTGAAGCATTTGCTCATGGGCTCTTGTGGCAGAGCAAGGCAGCTCTCCTCATGGCCAGGGATGAAAGAGAAGGGACAAGGGGCTGGTGTCCCACTGTCCTCTTCAAGGGAATGCTCCCAGTGACCCCCAGGCCCCTTCACTAGGTGAAGGTGGGAACTAAGTCAACGCATGGACCCTCTGGTGGGCTTTTAAAGATCAAAATTATAATCTAATGGCAATTTCTTGTGAAATATTGAAGTATTGTAACTGTTTTTTAATCTTTATATTTATTATTGGTGTGTGTGTGTGTGTGTGTGTGTGTGTGTGTGTGTGTGTGTGTGTGTGCATGCTTTGCATGCATGCTCTTGCTTGGAGTCCAGAAGTATTAGATTCCAGAGTTAGAGTTACAGGCAGTTACATTTTGAGTTTCCTGAAGTGAGTAGTAGAAACTAAGCTCAGGTTCTTTGCAGAAGCAATGTTTGCTTTTAACTGCTGAGTCATCTCTCCAGCCCCCGATCGTTATACTCTAAGCAGAGCATTAAACATAATTTTTTTCTAAACAGATAACTTCATTATACTAAAGTCATCAGTGATAGCTGTTGCTGCCCTAAAGTGTTTAATATGTTTCTCTAAAACGTGGGTTTTATTAGTGAAGTCCTTTAAGTCAACAGAGCACACACAAGCTGGGGGAATCTATGTCATAAGCATGCGATTGGCATTCCATATAGCAACCACAGTGTACCATTGTTACAGGCAAATGTGGGGTCTAGCAGGCATCCCCAGGGACTTCCATGTTCTTATATCTCTTAGAGAGAGTTTAGTAAGGACACGATGCCCTTCTGAGTGCTGAAGAACTGGACAAAGGTCAAAAGCTCAGTGTGCAGTGACCGCAGATGGGGCACTTATACAGTACACGTATTCTTTTGCCCAGCCTCTTGTGTATGTTAATCTTAGTGGCAGGGCGGTTTCCAGCCTTCTTCCTTTTATATGTTCATTTTGGCCTCACTTTCCTGCCATTCTTCAAACAAAACTTCCTGGGAACACAATGGTGCAGGGTCAGCAGACCTCCAAACCTCCAAGAGGGAATCGAGTCATGGCATAACTGAGTAAGCAGGGTGTTCACAGCTCTGAGGAGCCAGCAGTCCATTATGTTAATATATTTCAAAGGGTTTCACTTGATAATCAGAGGGCTGTTAGGTCAAACGTAAGCAGGCAAGAAATAGCTGTTAAGCGAACTGAAGACAGCCCAAGATGGAGTATAATTACACTCCAAACCTGCAACCTTCTGCCCTCTCCGCAACTGCTGGAGCACTAATCAGTCTATCAGTCTACAAGGTGGAGCTTCTGATAAGAAGAATTAGATCCTTTTGTTCACATGTGTTTGAGTAGAAGAGCAAAAAGATATGGTGTGTGCTTCAAAGAAAACTCACAGGGCAGAGAAGAATCAAGGAGGGCTTGCTTATCAGGAGACCACCAAAGGTCAGGTACACCAGTGACCCAGGCTAGAGAAACTTCACTCATGTATTGTGTGTGTGCATGAGATACACACAGAAGTCTACTGAGATGGGGAGGGTGCTTCAGGAGGTAGGTAAAGAGAGAAGTGAGTGTGGAAATTTCCCCCACAAGTTCAAGGCCAGCCTGGGCCATTTAGTAAAAGGATCTGGAGGTACAACTCGATGGTAGGACTACCCTGAACAAGACTGTGGTTCTGTCTCCAGTGCTGCCAACTGGGCCTGAGGAGACAGGGAAGGGGCAGCTGTTGGTTCTCATGCCATTGCTTATGGTGTCCAGGGAACCTTATAGAATTCTGGGGGTACTGTTTTTGGTGGTCAGGGTCAAGGCTGGGTGTTTTTTTACTTCTCATGCACAGAATTGAAATTCAGGCACACAGATTTGCAACATAGCAAGGAAACCTTATCCAAAAGCAAAGCAATACTGCAGAAACACGTCAAAATGACAGTGGGCCACATTAAGACAGGATATTCTAGGCCAGGGCCCAATTACTGTTTGGGGCTTTTATGGAGTTAAAGAATTTGGTTGCTACGGGCCATTGAACTGTTTAGATTGACAGATTTTAGCTTTGCTACCTCCCTTTCTACTGTGTATGCCCGTTTCCATAATGTATTTGGTTTTAATCATATGCATGTGCCAGTATGCACAGGCATAAGATGGTTAATAGCAGATTCTCCCATCAAGTTCACTTAGAAACACGGTTTGTCATATTAGGCAGGCACCTAAACCCGGTCCAGGCCAGATTAGACCTCCTGTATATATCTGGTGTAATACTGAATAGACTCTTTTCGATGGTCAATACAGGGAGGAAAAAGTTATCCCACTACTTGGAAAGGATGTGCCTACAGCGCCATGAAAATTGTGGACAGGGGTCCTGGGTTGCCAACAGTTGCTAGGTGATTTTTCAGAGAAGAGTGTGTGTGGGGGGGGGGGCGGGGCTGTTGGTGAGGGTCTCAGGCTGCCAAGTGCATTGTTAGAAGAGGGATCTGTGCACAGCAAGCAGTTTCAGCTCTGGGCTTTCCTCGGCTTATAACACTTTAGCTTAAATCAAATACACAGCTCGGCGTTCTCAAAACACACGAAGATCCAACGGTTTTACTATTCTCCCAGTGTAACTGTGGGTATGAACGATGCATTCCAGTTACCACCTTCAAGAGTAGAAGATCCGAGTCCCAGCCAGCCCCTCCCAACCGCAGTGGCCCGGTGGAGAAAGCAGGCTCTTTCGAGCCTAAGGAGGGTCCTCCAGATCAACGAGATTACGGGCCAGAGCGCCCGCCGCTCCTTTCTCTCTGCCACGGCGTCGCTCAGGAAGCGACGCACGCTCGCGCATGCGTATTGAGCGGAACTAGCCCTTACGTCATCGCTGGCGCGACGCCCCGAAGGCCAGCTTGGGCTTTGGTGTGGCGGGGCGGTGGCGGCGAGTGAGGCCGGGAAGATGCCAGTGGCGGTGATGGCGGACAGCGCCTTCAGTTTCAGAAAGCTGCTGGATCAGTGCGAGAACCAGGAGCTTGAGGTAGCGCGGCAGGTTGGGGCGGTCGAATGGGCACCGTTTCCAGGGTAACGGGCCGGGCCGCGGCCTGCTGAAAGCATATCCCCGATTCATCACGCCTCGGATCCTGGCCGTGGTCGGGACACGCTTCCATTTGCAATGTAATGATAAAAAGTTTACCAAGTAGGCTGGGTGCGATGGCACAGAAACCTCATGGGGGAACACGTGAGGCCGAGGCAGGAGCATTAGCTGTAAGTTCGAGGCCAGCTTGGGGTTCGTAAAATCAAAACAACAAAAGAAACGGGGAATAAAAGGTTCCCCGACTAAAGGAGACACTTAACAGTCCTTTGCTGAAGGTCTGGATTAAGATTGGGGAAAGACAGAAGACAGGTCTCTATAATTACCCATTGGATAGCTTTTTTAAAAGTGTGTGTGTGTGTATGTGAAGAGAGAGAGCTTTAAGAACCTTTTATTTTATTTCCTGCAATTGTAAGTTTCCTTAAATGTGAGACCTTCTGAGGTGATGCCAATTAAATGTATATATGTAAAGAAACTAATACCCACTGGAGGTAGATGACAGCTGACATCAGATCAAAACTCACTCCTCGGATTTTAATCCTTGATACTCCCCTAAGGGGCTTACTTTTTAAATTTGAATTTTCTCTTTTCTTAAAGTGTATTATGAAATGAGGTTTTTCTCTTTTTGTCTCCGTAGGCTCCTGGAGGAATTGCCACACCACCAGTGTACAGTCAGCTTCTAGCTTTGTATTTGCTACAGAATGACATGTAAGTATTACCTTTTATCTAAAATGAAGAGCAGCAGCTTCCTCCAGATTATCTGGAAGTATACAAAACACATAGGTGTCTTTTATCATAATCCTGTTATATGTTTCCTGTTCAGTCACAATAATAATTTTGAAATTTTTTTGTTGTGTGTGTTTTGCACACACACACACACACACACACACACACACTGGCACGTTCTTGAGGAAAAACTAGTGTGTTATAGAATAGAGGGCTCATGTAGCTCCAAACCCTTTGTGATATTTTTACAGTAACTAAACTGGGATTTCTGTCAGTACACACATATAAGTTATTTCTGTTTTATGATGATCGTTCCAGAGCTTAAGCCCTGTGCCCATTAGAAGGACTCCTAACCCCAACAGCACTGTGTATGCATGTATTGTGGGGAACAAGTCAAAGCCTTTAAATGTATACATTTGTTTATACAAATGAGTGGTTATACAGGAAGGTTTATGTAAGTCTGTGGTTTGAATGTGTTGCTGTAGTTTAGGATCTGGGTTGTTAATTTTAAAAAGTCAGCAAAAAGAGAGAGAGAGAGAGAGAGAAAGATTGTCCTTTTTTCTGGAAAGCTGCTTTTCTGAAGAACAAATTCATATATAACTGGATTGTCCATGTATATTGGTAGATGTTCTTCCATGTGTTTACATTAGAACCTGGTCGTATTAACTGAGATGACTTGTTTTGTTTTCTCTCTGTGTGAATTAGGAACAATGCAAGGTATCTTTGGAAGAGGATACCACCTGCGATAAAGTCTGTAAGTACTCTGCAGAGTCCCCTTGCTCTGCAAAGACTGGCACTGACTTAAATGACAGCTCCCAATTCCTCTCTTTCTCTCCCATATATTGTTAAGTGAATGTTAACGTTACACACCGTCAGGTTTCTCTAACAGGATGATTCGGAAATCTTGTTCATGTGCTAAGGCCTGTCTTGCTGTGGGAGTTGGTCTGCTGAGGGGCTGGGGACTTGGTTTCCTGTAATGACGCCATTTGGAAACTGGCATTGTTTACATGGATAGTCATTGCATTAAGATCACTTTGTTAATTACAATTTCTGACTTGGGGTGGGAGATTAAATGTAATCACCTGAGAAAAATTTCTGGCCCAGTAGAATGAAATAAGATTTCATTTCACTTTCCGTCCTTACCCTGAACTGATGTTTGTAAGAGGAAGCTAGAGGCAGGAGCAGCACACAGTGTGCCGATGTGAACAGGAGCCCTGCCTGCATGAAGCCTCTGCAGTGGACATTGCCAGCTAAAGCTGGTAGTTTTGTCCTAACTGAAGAAATGCCAGCATCTTAGGTTTAAATGGCAGTGCTTAAGATGATTGGTCCCCAGACTTCATTCTGAAACATTGGTTTTGTTTGTTTGTTTTGGTTTTTGGTTTTTTTTTTTTTTTTTTTTTTTTTTTTTTTTTTGTTTTGTTTTGGCTTTTTTGTTTTTGTTTGTTTTGGTTTTTGGTTTCCCATATTTTGTAATTGTAGTAGAAATGGTAATTATAGAAATTACCTCTCACAGCATCTTATTAAATCAGGCAGCCCCAACCTTTGGGCATTGCAAAACCTTTCTGTCACCTGCAAAGTTCAGAGTCTGGAACTGGGCACACAAGCTACAAAAAAAAAAAAAAAAAAAAAGGTTTCACAGTTCATACCTGTTCTTGGCCCTGTGGACTGCGGTTGAACGCTCCTGTTGGAAAAGTAATTGCATCTCCTAAAACCAGTAGTGTGTGTTTTAATGATATAGCTAATAACTGTTCTGTCATTTCTGAGATTTTATTGGAAGATACAGTCATTAATTTCAGAGTGAATTCCTTCAAAGGCAACCATATTTATTGCAGGCAAATTCTGAACTTGGTGGTATTTGGTCAGTAGGACAGCGAATCTGGCAGAGAGATTTCCCTGGGATCTATACCACTATCAACGCACACCAGTGGTCGGAGACTGTGCAGCCAATCATGGAAGCCCTTAGAGGTAATGTCTCTTTGTGGTTCAAAGTTATATGGCACTAAGCCTGTCCTTGGAGCCCTTGGAGGTACAGTGCTGTGCTGTGTACTTTAGAAGAAGACAGTTCTGATTTGTGGGTGCGTGTCAGACTTGACCTAGATCTGTGCTCACTGTGATTCTTCATTTCATTACTGGGGGTTCTGGGGAGCATGGGGCGAGTGGAGGGTGTCACTATTGATTCCAGATTGTAGTTATTCCATTGGCAATATCTTTTATCCTCGTCATCATTATTTCTGTGGAGACAGGAAGGTCCAGGGCCCTTGCTATGTAGCTCATTCTGTCTTTTACTCCTTGGGTTAATTACTGAGTATACCACACATGTGGCCTTGTGAAAGGGTTCTTTGTTGTAAAATGAAACTAGGCAATAATGTAAAGTTGATGGTATGGGTAGGTCAAGAATTTTAAGTCTATGTATTTGAAAGACTTTGGACTTTATTAACCTTGGCCTTTGATCGATGTGCGTCCCCTGTATACATCTCATCAAAGCAACACGCTTAGAATCTGAGCTTTGGGAAGTTAGAGGCCTGGCATGGTATGGCACTGCCTCCCTCCTTTCTCACACTCCTGCATGTGCTTCCAGTCTTTCTGAGTCACTCTTTCCTGTTCTTTCTATTGGCTTTAGGGTGTATGTGAGTGTGTGTACACGCACGTGTGCTTCCTACATTGCATGCATGTTGGCCAGCAGCATTGGATCCTCTGGCAAAGCACTGAGGGAGTAGATGCTTCTAACAGTCACCCTCACCCAAAGCCTGAGGGGGTGGCATGAGGGGCCAGTACTACTGAACTCTAGAACAGGCCTGATTCCAGAGCTAGCAGGGTGGGGTGAGGGGCACCACAGTTAGGGCAAGTTGGGGAGCAAATGTGTGGCCGCTGATTAGCACTAGAACACAGAGCTTTTATTTCTGCATCCATTGCCATCCTACTCCTTCCCCTCCTCTGCGTGTTCTTCATTCTTGTTAGCCCCTCCTGCCTCTCCATAACCCTACTATGTCTCTCTTCCTTTCTCATTTGGCTCCAGTCTATCCCTACTCCAGAAACCTCCCTCTATTCCAGTATTCCTCTTGCTGCGTGTGTGTTCCTGCCATTGCTGCCTTGGTCCTTTCCCACTGAATGCCTGTCTCCTTCATAGGGGAATCTCTGCACCCCTGAGACATTCTAAAGGTCTGCTGGAGGATGGTAGACTCGAGCAGAATGGGAGTGTAACAGCAGCAGAGGAGTGTGGTAGGGAATGCAGGGTGTGGCTCAGCGTCAGAGTGCTGTTGGTGTGCCGGAGAGTGCATACCACACCACAGTGTGCATGTAGTGGGCAGAGGGTTCTCTCCCACCTTTACAGAGGCTGGGGACAGACTCGTGTCTCTAGGCCTGGGGAGCAAGCTCCTTTACCACTGAGCCATGTCCAGGTCCATTGTCTGCAGTTTTTTAGACCTTTGAAAAAGCTTGTGGCCGAGGACATGCCCCTTTGGTTACTGTCAGCAAGCCAAGTACACAGTATCACAGTAGTACTGCAGGAGATGTTGTTTCAGACCTCTACACAGTGGGGCCCAGAGCCCAGGAGTGTTACATGATTACTTCTGAAGCAGGTTGGCAGCCTTCTGGAGGAGCCTTGTATTACAAAAGAGGCATTGTACAAAAGGACTGGCTAGGTTAGATGGGGCATTTGTCTCACTCTGGAATTTTCTTAATGTAGGTGTGTGAGCTTGGGGAAATGTGGAAGGCTGTTTCCAAGGAGATACTATGCTCAGACCTGGCAGCATCTTCTCTTGAGAGTCAGATCTTCAGGCTTGGGGTTCAGGGTCCTGACTTGATGTTCATTTGCAGTTAGGAACAGGTGCTGGGGATAAGTTTGTGCTCCTGCACTGGAGGAATCCTGCATTGGAGACGGGCAGCTGTCTTCTCATCCATTCTGCTAGTATTTGTAGGTGAAGTGGAACAAAGGAAATTGAAAATGTTTGTGCCTAAATTCATAAATGTTTGCCTTCTTAAAATCGGGGTCTCCTGGATGTTGTTTTCTATCTCTGGCTTTTGTCAATATCTGATATGAGAAATGTGTATGTTCACTGAGTATGGAGCCCTTATACCTTCTAGGCGTGCAGGTCTGCTTGGGTTGGTCTAGTTTTGCCTGTAAATAAAAACTGGATGGCAGAGCTTTAAGAATCCTGTTCTCTTGATTCCTGCTGCCAACTCTCCCCTTCCACAATAGATGCAACGAGAAGACGTGCCTTCGCCCTGGTCTCTCAAGCTTATACCTCCATAATCGCAGATGATTTTGCAGCCTTTGTTGGACTTCCTGTGGAAGAAGCTGTGAAAGGTACTTGGACCTTGCTGGTTCCTTACAGGGGAACAGAGATCACAAATCATGGGTTTGCTGTTGCTTCTCTGGAACTCTAGGAGAATAATGGAAACTTAGGTGGTAGCTTTTTTTTTTAGGAAAGTGGTAACAAAACCCACATCACCCATCACCTCCATGTGGCACCTGTAACCAAACACAGGACTCTCCCCATGGTGGCCGTGTGGCATCTGTAACCAAGCACGGGAGTGTCGCTGTGGCAGCTGTGTAGACATTTGCGTAGCTGCATAAAAAAGCACTTCTCAGCTGACCGAATTACCCAGGTTTACCCTTCCCTACTCAAAAAGACAAGTCCTGTCTCCACAGTACATTTTGGTTCATGGCCCCAGTCCCTTGGCCATGCCCAAGTAGCTATTGCAGCTCTTAACCCGCTGGTAAAACTGTGTGCACTTGGTTACATTGTTTTACAGTGGTTGATAGTCATAGAAGTTTCTTATGTCTGTTTGGAATTAAACCAGTTAGGTCACTACTACAGAACACTATAATCAGTGATTATACCAGCCCCAGAGAGGAAAGAATATTTCAGAAATAAGTTTATACAGTCCCTGTAGTAACCTTTGTAGTTAGTACCTACACAACCGCTGATGTGTCACCTAGAGCAGTGACAGTGGCAGGAACTTGTGTTCTTCTCCCATCTGTGTGTGAACTCTCCACTTTCAGGTGTATTGGAACAAGGATGGCAAGCCGACTCTGCCACAAGAATGGTTCTTCCCAGGAAGCAGGGTAGGTGGATCCTCAGAGACAGTGACATTAGAGAAGAATGGCATGGAAGGTCACCTACCTGCGCTCCTGTCCTGAGACTGACTGGATTAGTCACTCTAGCTTTCTTTTCTGTAGTCTTTAGAGCCAGCTGTCCCACCCTCATCATAATCCTCCTGCGTCGACCCTACGTCCTTTACCTGCCCCTGGCGCCTAGTGTTGAGACAGATGTCAGTGCTCATCCCCAAGGCTGTAGATCTTAAGGAAGGCTGGGATAAAGTGTTTAAGTGGAACGGTCGTGTCTCCGTCTGAGAACCGAGTGTGTAATGGGGTGAGCATGACAGTCGGGGCATTACTTATGTTGGTTCTATGTAACTGTTCCTCTTCTTCTGTTTAGCCTCGGGAGCCCCGGATGTTTCCTGTAACAGGTTTATTCCTTTATCAGGTACATGTTTTCACATGGGCATTGTTAAGTGTCGCATTGTTTGCTGGTGTGTTTTCTGTAATGTGTGGAAAGTAGATTCTGCAGGTGTATAGTGACACTCATGGCTCCAAAGGAAACTGTAGGCTTCCCTGTAGCTAACCTGGAGTGGTGGCACCTGATAGCCCAACCACTGAACTAGCTGCCGTCATGCCAGGGGGTCTTGGGGTTCTGGAATGTACTCAGAAGCCTCCACAGCCTGGCACGCAAACTCACCATTTCATGCAATCCTGAGGTTGGATCCTTGCTTGGTCCTTGTGCTGCTCTGCCTGATGACGGAGCAGTGTTGCAGGCACATGAGATGCACTTAGGAACTGTTCTTTGCCCTGTGTCCCACAAGTGGGGGCCTGTCCAGGCAGAGCTCTGTGGTCTGCATGTTCACATCCATTGGAGACAACCAAGAAATGGAGATTTCTTGCCTGCTTTTCAAAACCATCTAGGCCTCTGGCAGGCATGATTTTTGTCCGTGTAGCACTAAGAAAGTTACCTTCTTAAAGTCCTCCACAGGTTAGTGGCAGGGTGGGTGCTCTGTCGCACCTCGGGCTAACTTAAAGTGTGCTTCCCTCATTGCTGTACAGAGCCTGCCCCAGTCCCGCCAATCCCCAACGAGCAGCAGCTTGCCAGGCTGACCGACTACGTGGCTTTCCTGGAAAACTGATAGATCTGAGTTCAAGATCCACCTTCAGCCCCTGTCACTGTCAGACGGACGTGGAGTTTTATTCTGAGTTCACTGAACAGGGCAAGCACCTCAGTGTCCTTTGGGTGTGATAAAATGCACACAGAATATGAAGCGAATTGGACAGTTTCCTCCTCGGACTGCTGAATGTCCCGGAGCAGTTCTCATTTGCAGCCATCACTTTGGTTGGAGCCATCAGTATTATGCATCTAGTTTCTGTCAACAACTGGGTTCTGAACACGAGCTGTCCTGCTTCAAGTAGCAGAGAGGGTGCTGTGGTGCACACCACACTCTCACACACCATTGGCTGCTGGCTATAGGGATGTGCTTGGGGTTTGAGGGCTGTCCCCAGGCAGTGCCTAACCCACACTGTCACTCCCTGTGGAGAATGTGTTCTTTCTTCCCACCCCACAACAAGGAGTCACTGATGTCGAACCACAGATTGCTGAAGAGTGGTGAACCATCTTCTGGGAGGAGCTAGTCAGTGCTACAGGTTTTTCCCAGTGTGTGCAGGCATCTCAAGTTCCTGTGTCTTCTTTCAGGAGAAGGGAGGTGCCTGGAGTGTGTGTGGCAGCGTGTGCTGGAGGAAGCTCCTGGGCTGGGGTGACCCTGCAGCCCTGCTGTGCCCATCCTGCCTAGAAATGCTAAATGTGTCTGTTTTTGTTTCTGTATGAAGCCTTTGAAGATTTGAGGTGGTTAATGGATCTTCAGGTTCAAACAGCCCTGGTTCATTTACTCTGCATTTGTTCAATAAATATTTAATTGAATTCTTAAGTGCTTTGTTTCAAGCTGTTTCTAGAAATTCAAATCTTGGTCTTACTGTGAGCACATTTATAGGTTTTTTTTCTTGTCTCAAAAATAATTTTTTTAAGAGTTAAAAAGCCTTTTTCTTTTTTTCTTATTATTTGGGTACTTCATACATGCATATAATGTGTTTAGTTCAAATCCATCCTCTTCCCTGATTCTTCCCCTAGAGCAGTGGTTGTCAACCTTCCTAATGCTGCAACCCTTTATTTGATACACTTCCTCAGGTTGTGGTGGCCCCCAACTGTCAAACTATTTTCCTTGCTACCTCTTAACTAATTGTGCTGCTGTTATGGAATCGTAATATCTGATTTTCAGTGGTCTCAGGTGACCCCTGTGAAAGGGTCACTTGAACCCCCAAAGGGGCCTCGCCCCACAGGTTGAGAAGCACTGCCCTAGAATTTAATTAAAAGAAACAACTTCACCTGTGTCTGTAGTGAGTTACATAATTCTTGTTTTCATTGTTCCTTTTAAAATCATCTTTGGAAATACAATTTTTAAAAATAATTTGGAAATGTTTTTTAAATTTCCATTTTATTTAATCCTGGGTGATCATGTTAAAATGTTTTAACACTTGAAATGAAGACTGGAAGAAAGAGTGTGGTGTAGACACAGGTACAAAGTCTGGGTGGATGGGTGGGTGGGTGAGTGGATGGGTGGGTGGATGGATGGATGGATGGATGGATGGATGGATGGATGGATGGATGGATGGCTCCTGTTTTTAATAGCACATCCGGGTAGAACCAGATGAGTCCTTGTTAGGTTGTTGATGCATGAGTGTGTTGAGTGACCTAGGCTATGGATGGAGTGGGCAGAGCTTATGCTGAGCCTGTCTTGAGATGAGTGGGAGGGTAACTCGGGCAGAGGGCTTTCAACTGCGCGTGGGCACACCTGCTCACTCGGAGAGAACTACTACACAGGAAAGAGTTATCTCAGGTGACTCCACGTTGTAACTTTGTATTGCCAGCGGTTTCGTGGTTTTCAGAACCATGTTCATAGAATAAAATTATCAATTGTTCACATTGCTGGAGGCAGTGGATCTTAAATTTGGCTTGGTATTGTCTGATTTTTCTTGGTAAGTAGTATTTCCTCTCTCCTTCCAACCCTGAGTCCCAGAGTGAGCATAGGACAGTGCTGCTAGGAGGCACAGGCACTAACTGGAGGAGAGACTTGTGGAGTTGGCACCAGTGCAGGTCAGCCGGCAGATGCTGCCCAGCACAGAAGGACGGGCAAGGCCCGGGAGTACGTAAAGATGCAGGCTCAGCAGGTGCTGTGGGTGCCACCTGACTCCCATGCCAGGTCTAGCCATTTGTGTGAGTAACCCATGAGCCTAAACGTTCAAGGTTTATAATCCTACCCACAGTCCGCTGTATGAGAAGGGCAGGACATTTGGTCCCACATCCCTCCTGTTTATCAGCTTTCAGAACAATAATCATCCAGCAGTCCCCAGAGCCCCAGAATGAACCCAAGGGTGCTGGGCCGGATGGTGGGAACTTCCCAAGGGAAGAACTCATACCAGAGCGCCAGTCACTATGCAGCCTACTGGATGTCTGTGGCTTCTGAGACATAGGGTGACTATAGGACTGGACCTAAAACGTGTCAAGCACACCCATCAGCCTCTCTGCCCTGGCTGCTTCCAGTGTTGCCGACAGCACCCACCGTGGGTCCATTGGGCCTTTGCCCTGGGCACCAACTAAGACAAACAATACGGCACTGGCACTCTTTCCAGGCGGTTGTAGCTTGTTAACTATGTAGTTAACTATGATAGATCCCCTCTGTCAGTCTGACACACAAACGTCATTTTAAACTATAACCTTCCCTTCCCTTTTCCCCAAAGGCTCATGCTTTGTTTTTTTTTTTTCCATAATAAACATTGTATTCCAACTTTTCATGTCCGAAAAGTCTTTTAAATTTCCAACCTCTTAAAAGTCCAAAGTCTCTTAACTGAGCTATATAATAACAAGTTATATGCAAACGTTGGTGTTCCAAAAGGAAGATGGTGTTGCGAGGACATTCATTTAAATCAAAGCTCTAACCAACAACCCCAGTGCCAGTACCTGGTGATATAATCTGGGCTCCAGAGGCCAAGGGTGTCGCTGTGTCCCCATCTCTGCCTTCGCACATAGCTTCTCTCCCAGGCTCAGACACACTCCACTCCACCTGCACAGCTTTTCTTGGTTCATGGGGCAGTCATCGCCAGTATCCCGGAATCTGCACTGCAACTGAAGATTCACCATCACAGCTCAGGCAGCGGCTTCTCTGGGCTTCTCCACACCTATCACAGGATGCCCAGCCTCCTTGTGTACCAGGCTTTTCTTTTGGGGCCGCCAACCAGCTCCCAAATTATGACACACTTGCAAGTTTTGAATGCTCAGCCTAGCCTAGACACATTTCTGGCTAGCTCTTTCAACAAATTGACCCGTTTCTCTTTATATACTCTTTTGCCTGAGGTCTTAGTACAATTCTTCTGTGTATCTTCTTTCATTGCTTCTCTGTGTCTGTCTGTCTGTCTGTTGTCTGCCTGCCTCCTTGCCTCAGGCATGTCCCTTGTTCTTTCCTCCTCTCTCTCTCTCTTTTTTTCTGTTCTTTTTTCTTTCTAGATTTCTCCTATTCTTTCCACCCGCCAGCCCCGCCTAGCCTTTTCCCTGCCTAACTATTGGCCGTTCAGCTCTTTATTAGCTCAATCAGGAGCATTAGGCAGGCAAGGTGAAACAGATGCAACACGTCTTTACATAACTAAACAAATGCGGCACAGACAAAAGTAACACACATTAACTCAGTTAAAGTACTACTCTGCAGCAGAAACAAATGTTAAGATAATATTCTCGAACAGCATCAGCTGTTCTCCATGATTCCCTCCATCTTTGCATTCAAAACCAGTACCCCATAGATGATGCAACACCATTAGGGGCTGCTGCCAGGCTGAGATGTAGCCTGGTCCCCCTGGACCACAGCTGTATTGGCTGTGCTGACCCTGACGAAACACTTTCCTCTTGCCCCACTGCAGTGCAGGAGGATTCTCAGCCATGATGCTGACCTCTGTCAGTTCAGCTGCTGCCTCAGCACCAGCCCGAACATCATCCCGCACTAACAATAAACCAGTCCTTTCACCTCAGAACACAAGCAGAATGAATCCAGCTTCTTGACCAAAATACCACACAGATGGCTTCCCACTCAGATACTGTTGGAGTCTGTTCCCCACTGAGACCTTAAGCCACGCCTCTGCTGTTCATGTTTCTTTCGGCATCACTGTCTTCTGAGCTCCCTCGTAGCTACCCACTGAACTGTGCATTCAGTGGCTCTTCCCGTCCAACGTGCCATACATTTCATTCTTCCCATGGACAGCTACAGAGTGCTTTTATTAAAGCCATGTGGTCAGGACACAGCAATGACCCAGTTACACAATACCAATGTCTGCTCTAGTTTCATTCTGTGGCTTACAAACAAACAAACAAACAAAAAACAAACAACTTAGGGGAGAAACAGCAGAAACAGCCTATTTAGCTCACAACTAAATGAGTTCATTATTATAGGGAGGTAAAGGCAGGAACTTGAAGCAACTAGTGGAAACCACAGTCAAGAGCGAGAGAATGAATTGATGGAAATTTAATATTCATATAGCATTCGCTACCCATATAGTCCAGAGCCCCAAGCTAAGGAATGGTGCCACACATTTTCAGGCAGGGTCTCCCACATCAAGTAAGGCAATCAAGACAGTCCCCACAGGCCAACCTGAACATGACAGTTGAGACACTTCGCGGGTGATTCTAGTTTGTGTTGAGTTGACAACACTGACCACAGGCAGATTGGTGGGCTTCCTTTTGAAATAAAAGACAAATATAGTAGAGATGGTGCTGAGTACAAGCGCCCTTGGCTCCTGGGTTGAAACACTTAAAGGCCGACTCACAAGTGCTCCAAGCAGCTGAGTCCGGGTCATGTTTAAAGCCACTGGACTCTGGTCATGTGTACCTCTCAATTCCAAAGAGGAGAAAACACAGCAGGAAAGCAAACGCTTGGAAGTCCTGGCCCAGAAGTTTCTGTCCCACCCTGTCCTGCAGCCATTCAGTCCCAAATAAACACACAGAGGTTTATATTAAATATAAACTGTTAGGCTCATTGCTCAGGTTTATTACTAACAAACTCTTACAGTTTAAATTAACCCATAATTCTTAATCTACCTTAAATTATTAAATTAACCCATGATTCTTATCTTGCTTCCTCTACGTCTGGCTGGCAACTCTTCTCTGCCCTTCCTCTTCCCAGAATTCTCTTAGTCTGGTAGCCCCCCCCCCCATACTTCCTTGCCGGCTACTGGCCAATCAGCGTTTTATCAAACCAATATGAGTGACAAATCTTTACAATGAACACAAGTACCATCCCACATGACAGAATAGTCCACACAGACCTGGAGAAAGCAAACCATAAATTCTGAAGGCTCAGACACACCCCACAGGGTAAATGCAAAGACATCTATCTAGACCAGGAAACACCAACTACAAAAGAGCAAAGACGGCATATTAAAAGTGCAGCAGGTGAAGTTGGGGCATTATCCTGAGAACAGTGGCAGAGAAACTAGTTAGATGATGCAATGGTATTTGTAGAGTTGATGGATGCAAATCCTGGCCATTATTTAATTCTCTGCGTTGTTAACATTTAAAAGATGGAAAAAAAGAGACACCAGAAAGCAGGCTCTGATTTGGTAATTATTAAAAATAGAGCAGGGAGTGGTGGTTCATGGGTTAGCCTGGCCCTTGGAAGGCTGATACAGGAGTAGCTCAAGTCTTCCTTAACTTCATTCCTATTGCTATGATAAAAGAGCCTAACCAAAAGCAACTTATGAAGAATGGTTGGTTTTAATTGTCAACTTGACACAACTTAGAATCACACAAAGAGTTCCAGCCAAGGGATTATCTAATTTATATTAATTTACAATTCTAGGTTGCAGGCTGTCATTGCAGGATGTCGCAGAG